AAATACAGCATCAGTTTCGCTCCCCAAAAAAGTACATCTACATGCTTCTAATTTGGTGCATGTCTAGTGTTTTGCAATTTGCATCTCAAGTTCTCCTTTTTAGTCAATAGAACATTTTTATACCATACACGGCGAACAAACACCACTCTTTTAGTTGGCTCACCGATGGAGTGACAGGGTCACGGCGGGCCGGTCACCCAGAGGTTACTAACTCGACCTCCCGCTACCTGCGTCGGTAGCCAGTGAAATGAATTTTTCAACACATGTTTTATCGTCTTACACAAACAAAAAATACCACGGCTGCTAACGTTTTGGAGTTAGATGCTCTTAAAATGTATGTCTATTTATAGTTAGCCAAAAGAACAAACACATATTGAATGGCTAATAACTTATAAGCCTAACATCAAATATTTACGAAACTGTTACGTGTAACACGAAAATGTGTTTAGAAATTGACTCACTAAAAATGTTGTTTCCAGCACGAACATAGAACTCGTCATGAGCATAATAGCCAAAACGCTTCCCTGCATTCATGACTTTTTGTATCCAAAGGAATGAGTATCCTCCTGAATAATGATATACTGACGTATCTTCAATATACAGCACCGATTTCTTTCACAAAATGAACATGTACAGACTAAAAGTATAAATGCAATTTTTCTTTCTAAACATATCCAGCAGCACGCAATGAGGGTGCTTTTAGCAAGAGATGCAACACAAAAATAAAATGCATTATGTCTATCTGGTTTGGGATCCTTCGTGCTCTGGCTTCCAGTTTTGAGATCGCTTGGTGGCTGCTTTCTGTGTCCTGTTCTCCCAAAATTCAGAGAGCAAACATGAGTTGTTGTATGTGTGGAATACAGTATTGCTATAATATGTGTTGCTTTGGGATAACTTTGCGGGGAAATAGCGTCTGAATGCGGCCATGTAATCGTCGATTGCTACGAAGATTTCCGGAAGTGAAAATTGTTCTACTGGTTTGAGATGTGATATTGCAGTGTGAACATGGCTAAATCTTTCATTGAGAAGATTGAATATTGCTTCCAGTCAACTTGCTTCCTCAATTTTTGCAGTTTAACGGGAGTATTTTCTTGTTTCTGTACAAATTGTGTTTGTTAGTTTCTTGTACGCATGAGGATGGAGGTATGCTTGGGGTGTTTTGCGATGTTTGCTTGAAATGGATCTTTGCATGCAGCCACCAAAGCAATGCCGACAAACGGAGCAGGAATTCACATTTATGTTACTGTCAAACGCACACCACATGTTCCTACTAGCGTCAACAGCTTTTTTGCGGCATGAATTGAGGTGATGTAACACCATATATCTCCTTTTGATATTAGAAATCGTGGTAAAACACTTAGCGGAATACAACTGTTCATCTTGGTCCCTCACATCAATCCCATAAATCTAGAGAATAGCTCCTGGCATTGTTTTACATAATCGGGGCTTTCTGTACTTTTTTTGTTTGACAGTTAAAATTAAACGCCAACACACCCAACAAAGTTCACTCAGAGAATCTCTATGCCTCTATCTATATGTGTGACCGACCCATTGCAGTTTAACAATTTTTACTTAGGAACACCATTCACTAACTGATTGCCAGTCATGGCAAAGTGCAGGAAAAACAAAATTCCCATTATTAGAAAATGTGATTTGATGGCTATCACACCGCGCAAACAGAAATAAACAACAACGTTTCATTTTGGAATGATTTGTAATTAAATTTTATTAACGACACTTCCGACCACTTAACACTCACAATTTAAAATTGTTAATATTCCCAAAACGAATCAATGAAAAGTGTTGAAACTTTCACAAGTTACCAAGAAGACGTAGACGAAGCGAAATTGGTGAAGAAATAGATTCTAGGGATAGAGTGAATATCATTTTACGGCTCATGAAATTAAGGGAAGAAACACATTCTGATAAGGACAAGATACAACAGCGCAGTGCACGAGTTGACCCCGGTCAATCCCCGACCTGACGCGTGAAAAGGCAGGTCACCTGCCGGTGATTTATGGCCCACCACGGGGGGGGGGGGGGGCGGACAAACTAAAAGATTGCTGAGATGGTATTTTGGACGCCGTGCATACACACACATTGGTAAAAAAAACTTTACAATCACGAGATGCAAAAACATATTTTTAAAATTCTTAATGAGCAACGAGAAACAAAATTGTGCCTCAACTTAATCCTAACCATCTATCATACTGGTCGCTGGATGCAGAATCTAATTCCTCCCTGATATGACAATCTTTTTTCCAAGTTACCCTCAACCCAACCAGTTCACTAACAAATAGCTCAGCACAGCAGGGAAATACATCTAGAGATACATTTTCACTTAGAAGCAAGCACTATAGTGCTGTCAAAAATTTGTTGCTCAATAAAGTAAAATATTTCCTAAATTATCGAACATAGACTCTCTTGCTTTTGCACATTGACTTTTATACACTTTCTCTTAAAAGATCAATTTTTTTTTAGATTTTACACCTAATAGCTGTATTCTAAAAATTCCTTAATAGATACTGAAAAAAAATCCAAGTGGGTCGTTTCTACAGATTTAATGCTGGGGCAATCTCTTTTAAAAGCAAGTCTGTCATGTTTTTCTAATGGCGACATTGTGTTTATTGAAAGCATGTTTTAAGAACCTCTAGTGCAAAAAAAAAGTGTTCACTATAAAATTTATTTCTTGTAAAAAGTTTTGTCACTAAAAAGTGTCATTAGTGAGCTTTGACGAAGGCCATACATGTGTGTATGCAAAATGTGTGTGAGAAGCAGGAAGTGCTGTGAACAATCTCATTTTCCACATGATGGCGAAAATAAAATTTTATCATGAATTTATGAAGAAGTTTTTTGCAGTGGCTACGTTCACGGCGCCATGAATGTTGTTCTTTGAAATTTAAGAATGATCTTGCTCACTTCACCCCCTACCCTTTTCCCTTTTGCTCCTTCTTTTCTCATCCCCTCCCACCCCTCTTCCCGCCTTGGCCTTCTTCTATTACTTGTTGCTTCTAACGACTTATATTTTCAAACTGTCGATCCTTGCCGGGTCCGCAGCCGGGAAGAGGATCGAAGTCGTGTCCCGCGCGCTGAGCGACCGAGGCCTTGTCCACCGAGGCTGTTTTGCGGTGCTCTCCTTTGCCCTCTGTAAACTCCGTTGAATTCGGACCACCGCAGCATTATTTTTAAGACGAGTATTCCTGTGCTGTTTACTCATTCACTCTGAGTTTGAACGAACGTAGCGTTTCAGTCATGCCTCCGTGCCAATGGTTGAGGATTCAGGGAGCCATGAACGTAGCAACTGCGAATGTGTTTTAATCTGGGCCTAGCCTTAATTGTTGAAGGAAAAATGATTAAGTTAGACAAATTGATACAAACTGCTGTGCAAAAGTATGGGGGGACATTGATTCACCCACTAAAGGGATATATTGAGGATCAGTTGCACCTCAAATTTTTTACTGCATAGAGGAGGTTGCAACTTCACATTGTTCTTTACAATACATTTAAGGCCAGCTCTATTTCTCCGAACGCTCATGAAAATAAACTAGAACTCTATTTCTCCCAACAGCTTCCATTCTCGAGATTTTTTGGTTATTGCGAATGGAGTGGCCCGCATGTGTGCGTGTGTGTGTGTGTGCGTGCATGAGTGTGCGTGTGTGTGTGCGTGCGTGTGCATGCGTGCATGTGTGTGGGCGCCTAAGGCGTGAACGAGGGGGGGGGGGTGGAGGGATTTTTTTTCTCTCTATTTTAGTTTTTGCTTTATTTAGGGGTGACTAAATGCAAAATAGGTTACTGTACTGCCAAAGTCGAGCAGTCTTGTTTTCTCGCAGTAGATTACCATTTGAAGGCATTTTCAAATAAAGTATAGTCCGGGAACGTTGCCCCAACCACAATTGAAGTATCTAAATACATTCAGACATCTAGAGATCTAAAAATCTCTAGCTCTTGAAATTGGAATTCGATGCAAAAAATGCTTCTCCAGTCTTTGCAGAGTGGCAGAACAATGAAAGATGACGTCGAACTCTCGCAAAAAAAACACAAAAAGACTTGAGAACCGATACCATTTGGAGAAATAGATATAGAGGTCCAAGTTTATTTTCCCCGAGCATCCTGAGAAATAGTCACTTCGTTTTTTCGCACACATAAAATTAAAGAATAAAAATTAGGAAGTGGCTATTCTCACCCGGGGTGAGAATAAAAATACGATCGACCTCTCATCCCGGGTGAGACTTGCCACCGTAGGCTATTCTCACCCGCTGTGAAACAAGACCTGTTTTTCCTAATTTCGGAATACTTTCTATCGATATGGATGATCAAATGGATAAAGGCAAAGAAAAGATTACGTTATAGCACAAAAGTAAGCTAATTTTATCGACTACAAGGATGCTATGGCTATTTAATTTTTTTAATTGAGCCGAACTACGCGGGTCGGCATTTTGTTTTGCCCGGAAGTTCTCGCGCTACTCCTCTCTCTCTCTCTTTCTCTCTCTCCACTGCCCACAGACACAATTGTACGCTTTTAGTAGGCTAACAGTAGTAATGGAACGTTTGTTCACGGCACAGAATTCTACAATTTTTCTGTTTCACAGTGTAGAATTCTGTGTTTTAGGGTGAACGCAAAATTGGTTGGCCTAGATCTAGATCTAGGCTATAACGGTGAACGCGCACCGGGTGAGAATAGCCAAAAGACTCGCCAGCACTATTCTCACCCATAAGGCACAAACTCAGAAGAATCATGAGGCAGAATTGTTTTCTAAATATATTACAGGGAAAGAAGAGCAGTAGTGGAAGAAGCTTGCTCACTGACTGGCTATTGTTTACACAGTGTGGCTGAGCCCTGTGAGCCATCGTTAGTATTACACTGTTTACAATTGACTCAATTGTAGTTTTGTAGCCTAGATATCTAGATCTAGATCTAGATTATCTAGATCTAAATCTAGATCTATTTAGATATCTAGATATCTAGATCTAGGTGTTGAGTGTTAGTGTTAGTTACTTACCGTTACACCAGCCTTCAAAAGTGAAACAGCCCCTCTACATCCAAAAGCAGTCTCATCTTCAGATTTATAGTAGCTAATTGTACTGTCTTTCAATACAATATAGCGATCCTGCCAACCATGTAAATAATTTGTCCATTTACAAAGTGTGCCACACAGTTCGGGTAGAGGCTCGTCTTCAAAATCGTCCTCGTCATCTGTTAAACTCAGAACATTTGTTTCTTCTGTCATAATTGCTTGGTTGATTTCACTTCAGTTTATGTAGTCATGTAAAATGTCATGCTAGCTCTGGATAATCTTAAATCAATTGCTATTAATAAATCATATGGCTTCTAACATAGTATTGAGGTCTGTGACACCTCGACCACCATTTGTTTGGTTATATCGCCATCTTGAAATATGTCTCCCAGGAGGTATCGACTTAATTTAGGAACCGTTTTAGAATTCTCAGGAATTTTACATTTTCATCTTTTTAAAGGGTTTAGTACTTTTCTTTCTAACTTTACTTGGTAAGATTATATCATAAAAGAATTTTGAAAAAGAATTTTTAATCAATTAAAAAACAGGTACGTAATATATCAAAAATACGTTTATTGGTGGGACAAAGCTGGAACTAATTCATTGAACACCGGTAAAGGGGTGGGTCTTTGATAAGGGAGCTAACTTGTAATAAAGGAGAAAAACAAACTTCGCGATCAGAGATTTTCTCCCCCGACTTCTGCGTTTCCTCTGTCAGTGGTCAGACTATCTCTGTATTGAAATAATTAATTAATATAGATCTATATATATATTATATTTATTGCTGTGAGCCGGTGTATACATAAAAGGGTGGTGCCAAAGCACAAACATGTGAATTCATTCTTTTAGAAGCCAGTTTAAATCTCTTTTTCAACCTCAAGAGCCCCCCTCCCCTCGGATTTTTCTTTCTTTCTTTTGTTGTTGCTGTTGTTGTTAGATGTTTAGAGGGAGTAATTAGAGACATTAATTCGGATCTGTGATCTGACTTCGTCTGACAAAAAATATCAACTCTATTAGACTATCTACAGGTCTATAATTTAAACAGAAGGTATGAAAAATATAAAACAGCAGAATTCAAAGTACTGAATACGTATTTCTTCATGTATTGCAACTCTCAATACTCAACCAACATAAGATGCAAGTTCGTATGTGTGTGAGCATAATAATATGTGTATGTTTGTGGGGAGGGAGGGAGAGAGAGGGGGGAGAGAGAGAGAGAGAGAGAGAGAGAGAGAGGGGGGGGGAGAGAGAGAGAGAGAGAGAGAGAGAGAGAGAGAGAGAGAGAGAGAGAGAGAGAGAGAGAGAGCACATGGGTACGCATATTTATAAGAGAAAGGGACAGAGGGACGGGAAGCGGGTCGGTTTTGAGAGAGAACAATTAGAGGGAGAGAACGAAAAAGGGGTTAGGTAGGCGAGAGAGGCAAGGCGTTTAAAGAGAGGGATAGAGAGTAATGGGTGGAGCTAGGTAAGTATATAAAGATATTATGTAACATTTAAGCTTATGAAAAGTAGGCTACAAAGATAACAAAATGGTAACCACAAAAAAGGAGCGCTTCATAATTATCATAGTGTAAATTTCGAAATTTTGGGAAGATTTTTAACTATGTATTTAAGGTTTATCTTTTTCTTTATAGCCTACAAGGTAGGCTACTGACTACCGAGATGTGCGAAGTTCCTGTCTGTCATATTGAACAACGGTACATTTAGCCTACTATTATCAAAGTATAGGCCTCTCGATCTTTGTACCGGTCTTCTAATGAGGGTAATCTGTACTATCATAGTATATAGAACAGAAAAGCCCCATCAAGACCCATGGGAGAATTGCAGTCTGCTGACCGGGGTCCATCACTTGTTCTGGACAGAGTCAAATTTTCCAAAGTCCATCACTTACATGTATATCAGTCTTGCTAGGTACACGAAACGCAATTCGATAACAGCACATTAGGTAAGCCTACACTAATTTTACAGCTCTTAGCGGACCTTTACGCATAGACATACACGTAATAATACGCCATTAGAAATTCATAATATTATTATCTGCCTGATATTGAGTTGTAGGAGACGGCGAGGTCACCCATATAATAAATACTGCGACATTTGGCCTGGTGGAACCGATTTGAACAATGAAAACTGCGTAAATAAATACTTGTAGGCCTGTATAAAGTATATAGAATGCGTGGGTTTAAGTATTGCCACCAACCATTTCCGCGATCTAGTCCTATAGCTGCTGATTATAGAAATTCTATAGAAGTAGAAGCTATAAAAATAGCCTAAACTGTTACAAAAACAGCAGTATGGTACGGTAGATCTATTAGGGTGAATCATGTTTTATGTTCACCAGATAGATGTTTGGTTTAGTTTGAACTTTAAAAGTAATCAGCAAAGATCGTACACTAGCAAATTAATGGAGTAGATCTAACGCTAACACATCGAAACACTCGGTAGGATAGGTGTTGAAAAAAATAAAGCAGATAGGGTGCAAATTTATTAAGTGACAAATTTCGCTTGTATTCTGTGCCCCTTGCCCACAATACGTGCGCTCGAAAATGTTAACATATGTTACTTCAATGTACAGTGAAGGTTTCTGGCTCGATGAAAAGCCTTGAGAATGTACATGATTGCTTACAATAACATCTTGCGGGTCTACTGTCTGATCTTGATAAATAGACCTACATCCAAATTGAGTCAAAGGGTTTGATAACATGGAGATAAAGCAACCAATGTACAGCTGTTTGTGTTTCTATTGATTTATTTTGCTTGGTTGACATTTGTAATATATAAATGTACATTGACACGGTGTGTGATTTTTACATTTTTAGAACAGCTAAGCTTATTGGGCGTCCTATTTTCAACAATTTTTTAAGCATAGTACAAGAGTGATATAGTCTAGGCCCTGGTATCATTTACCTGTACCTGATGTGCAATGTATAAATGAAGCACTCAGCATGTGAGACGGAGATGGACAAGGCAGCAATGGGCACTAGGTTCTGTTTACAGGTGAATTTGGGTTCTGTCCGGAACTTGCATTGGCGTTGAGAGTCTGAATGAGGCATAGAGAGCATTTTGTGTATGGTGCCATTTTTTTTTTTAAGGAATCACACTTTGGAGGAGGCAATGCAATAACTTGGGGAGGCATCATAATGTTTCTGTGCATATACATGTAATGGGAGGTCGTTACCGAGATGAGATTTTACGGCCCATCGGATCGCTATTCTATCTCATCTACAGATGAGTCCGAAGTGCATACAGGTTCCAGATGATAATACATGTACAATTAAATCCCGTCGATCTCGAGCTGTTCATGAAACTTTCATTCAGTAAGAGATGATTTGTATGTTAAATTGGCAAGCTAACAGCCCTGACCTAAACCCAACTAAACATTATATATATACGTGTCTTTACGCCATTCCCAAAGGGGGTTTATTAACACGTTCTTATTCACAGTATCACAGTAGAATTGCAAATGGGCTGATTTACCAATGTCATGCTCTAGCTGTGCTGGAACAACATAGGGGGAACTGCTGCTTTTTCTTTCCTCATCCTTACTATAATCGTCATTGTTCCTCTACTTCTTTTGTTTGTCACTCTCTTGTGAACTGTTTTTTCTGGGGTGGCTTGAAAGTCGAAGCAGACTTTCGTGCTCTTGAGGCTAGAGAGTAGAGAGGTGAGAAGAGTAAGCCTGATTCCCCGTTTGGACTTCTCTGCTGACATCAACCCTTTGGCGCTCATTTATGACCAGTTGCGAGCGCCGTAAAACCTTTCTAAAACTAACTTGCTTCACACGTCCAAAACCACCAGCTACACCCCAGCTATAGCAATGAATGGCCACAACTTAAAGCAAAAATTAAACGCTGTTCCTCTGGTTTTCATGCGTTGTCTGTTTCATCAATCTGAGACTAAGGCAAGACCCTGCGGTGAGTGCCAGACAAACAATTGGGGGGGGGGGGGGGGGGTGTCAACCACCCACTACTATTACTAAACCTTTTCAGATAACGGTCAATGGTCAATGAATGATTTATAATCGTAAAAGTTAAAATTTAAGAAGTTTCCACCCCCTAAATAATGCAGTCGAGAGGGTGCGGTGGCGGAGCGGTTAGTGCGCTTGTCTCCGAAGCAGAAAGTCCGGGTTCGAACCTCGGTTCGGACGCGGATTTTTTTCGCTCTCACATGCCCACCCAGCAGTTGGGGAAGTAAAGGCAGCGCGGAAAGGAACTGGCCACCCTACCACAATATGTCGAAGGCCCATGAAGTTTGACTAACAAGGATCGGACACGGGAACAACTTTAGTTTTTAATACAGTCGAAATTGTCTAAGACGGCCACCCATAGATAGTCGACGGGAAAAGTTGCGGTCTTACGCCATTATAATGTTAAAACGCAAAAGGGGGGGGTAGGAAATGGCCGTTTGTATAGATGACTGTTTTACACAGGTGGCCGTTATAGCAAGTTCTCCCGAATACTTTTGAAAAAGTTTCAGCTGTTCTGTTGGGAACCACAAGGTAACAACCAAGTACCGGTACGTATTCTATAATTTGATACATGTAGGAGGTTGTTCTCCTCAGCTTGAATTTCATTTCTTGTTCTGGATCTCTTCAATTCTTGTGTACGATTTTTGTCCTGTAAATTAAATGGTTAAGAGTTATAAGATCTGATACACTTGACCAAACGCAGTCGACTACGGATGAGTTGAATGATGGTTGATGTCGTTGGGGGAGTGAAAAAAAGATCAACTCATCCGAAGTTCAACTTAACCGTTGGGACCTACTGTAAAGAAGAAGCGGAGCTGGGACCAGAAAAAAAAGATCAACTCAACTTATCTGAAGATCAACTCAAGCGAGTTCAAACTCAACACAAATAGAGTCGATCCGTAATAGATGCGTGTGTGTGTGTGTGTGTTCATTAAAACGTGTACAGACAAAATCAAAAGATTTACAGTGGGTTTGACTTCAACCAAAGAGGTTGGCCGAAATCAGTGAGACTTTTTGAAAGTTGCTTTTTTTTTTCTCATCTACCTCTTCTGGTAGCGATGTCAGCTACAGGCTAAAACTGTCCCTGTCGTTTTATGCAAGAAAAATTCTGAAATTATGCAAACTGAGCCCCAAAAAATGTGAAATTATGCGATTCTGTTATAATCTTAACAAAGAGTGAAGAAGGAAAAAAAGATAAGAAATTATGCAAAAAATGATCAAATTTTGCTAAATTAAGCGGGGTGCATAAAACCACGGGGACAGCTAAAAGCATAGTGCTTTCTTTTCGAAATTGTCAGAAAACAGTCGCACAGAACAGATGAAAGAGGAGATTAGCAAACTGTACTGCACGCACACTGAACTGTGCAGAGAAATGAGAATGATGCGCCAATGTGAACTAACTTCGCAGTGCGCAGGCCCCATTGATGTATGTGATAAACGAAGGCACACAGTACATTGTGATGCTTTCTTCTACAATCTACAGTAGCCTATAATGGGATGCTTCAGTCTGGGTTTCAAACAGAAACTCGTGCGTTCTAACGTCTCTTTCTCCTGCTTTGCTACCTTGAAGCACATAAGACTTGATGATTTAGGCTTGGGCTAGGCCAAAAAGACAGCAAAAGAAGAGGAAAGCATTTAGTGTGTGATTTTTCGGTAATTCCACTTTGCATTCCTATCTTCTGGAACTAAAAATCCTGCTATAGCCATGTTCTGCTCTACAGAAACACAGAAAAGAGAGAGATGGAATGGGACGTGACATCAAGGGGATTTACACTGTGTACTATATATTTCAACCTTTGATAACATCTTGACCCCCAATGCAATGCATACAACGATATCAGCTCTCCTCCTTCCTCAAAATAGAAATCTTATTCCATGAATGGCAGATCACCACTTTTTTCTTCTCTTTACAATATCAAGGCTCCAGATTTTTTGCCCCATCCTCACACATTTGGAAAGGAAAAGTGTTATCTTAATTTTACCAGCCAATTTTAGAAATCATGGGAATGTTCCCTTTTCATCAGCAGATCACTTTGAATTGATGATTCAGTTGACTATAAATTATAAACTAAAAACTTACTTTAGTTTTAGTAGAGGTCTTACAGCGCTCGCAATTGCATAAGGTCATATGAGCACCAGAAGATTAGAGGTGTTACAAGAGAGTAGCTAACTTAGAAAAGAAGAAGGGGAGATAAGAATGATAGATGTTTCATAGGGAAGAAGAAGCAAACTACACCAGAGCACCCGCCAACCACCCACATTTTTTTTTTAGAAACCCCCAACAAAACAGAAACAACAAAACAAAGTTTATGTTCAAGTTTATGTACAGAATGAAAGCGCATCGCAAGCAGCACAACAAATAATACATCGTGTGCAAAGACACACATGCAAAAATTTTATAAACAAAAAACTTTTTTTTGGGGTTCCATTGCTACAATTTCTGTCAGTGAAAATTCAGAACACAATCAATTCTGCCGACAGGTTCTCTCTCCCTTCCCCCTCCTCGTTCATTTTTTATTTGCAAACATACACTAATACAGGCTAGTAAGAAAAAAGCAACAAAAAACCCCCCCACAAAACATACAAAATATGAACTAGAAAGCTGAAGAAGCAAAAGTTGAATACACTAAAATTTAGATCTGGATAAGTTCTTGAAATGCCTGAAAATTACTTTCAGTCCAGCAGTAAAGTACCTAAATCATTGCTCCAACTCTAATATATCAGTTTAAAAAAAACTAGAAAGTAATATGGACAAACTTGACCAAGTTGGCCACCTATTGTCCAGTAAAAAAGTTGTCTCAGACAGAAGAATGAAAGTCTCGGAAAGTGTCATTATAATAATAATAATGAAAAAAAAAACATAAGGGGGAAGTTGGAAGTGATCGTTTCAACAGGTGGTTGTCTTGGACAAGGGGCAGTTAGTTTTAATAAAAGTTTTAAGGCACTTGTAACACAATAGGATCACATAAGTGCTGAAGATTAGAGGTATAAAACAAGAGTAACAAACACAAAAAAGGAGGAGAGATAAGGACGATAGAAATGTTCGATAGGAATTAAGAAGAAGGAACAAACCACACCAGAGCACCCACCAACCACCCACAGGTGGCCGTTAGAGGAGGTTGGATTGAACTCTTACACTTACTCTTAAATGTTCTTTCAAAAAGTTATGTTTAAATTTAAAGATTACTAAGTTATCATCAGTCAGATGACAAACATATCCAGTAATACTGCTGAAGCCATCCCACATAAGTAAGGCCCACCAGCTGACTGACCAAAAGAAAACATGACTGTCTATATAAAACCATTAAGTTCATAACTAGAACTTGACTTATCTTCTTCTCTCTCATTCCTCGTAAGAGTAAGATAGCAGGATAGCTGTCTCTGCTTCTGCAACAAACAAAACAACCAAGCTGCCCACTTTTTAAAATTCAAATGTACAATTTCCCTTGCTTTAAAAAAATGTATGGTATTTCAAAGGCACTCTTGGGAGATTTTTTTCAGCCTGGGGTAAGGAATAATTCTGAATTTTGACCAGGAATCCGATATGAACAGGCCTGCTTTTCTTTCACTTGCAAACAAGACTCCAAGATTTTCCTCCATTTCATCAAAGAGGACAAGGAACTTAATCCAACCTGCACTGGGATCATACTCAGAGAGATGGAAAACCTGAAAAAAAGTCATCAATGACTAAGTCTGCACAAACCCAGGATCAACCCTGGCACTGTGACCTGGTAGTGGTAGGCAAGCACCTTCCAGCAAAACCTGTCTACAGCAACAACAAAAAATGACTTCAGATGCACTCCCTCTCTCTCCTACTCCTACGTTCAAGTTAAGGGGAAACCAAATGCTACAGAAAGGAGCAAACTACAAGCATGAATTGCCAGCATCCAAGACCACTAGGTTGTAGAACTCTCTCTAGAATAAAACTCTGACAAATGATACGCTTTAAAGTTAGATCTTTTCTCGCCATTCTTGGTATACAGCAACGACTTGAAACACGCTCTACACAGGAAGCATGGGTCTGTTGGAATAAGTGAAGAATCTCGCACGATCCACCTGTGTCAGAAAGCATTCATTAAGTTAGATTAGTGCCTTACAAAGAGATGATTAACTTTATACAACTTTTATCGATGTGAAGCAATTAAATTTCAATAGTCACAGAAGACATAGAGGGGGGGGGGGAATTGCAGTTCATACATCTTGTTCATATTATCATCCGACATGATACAATAAAAAACAAAAGTAAGAAAAAAAATTGTCCATGGTGGAACCTGAGAAAGTTTTTTTTACATGAAAAGCAAAAAACTACACCCACTCGAGGTGCGTACTATAAGTAGACCTGCATGTGAGCCTCAACCAGATTGTCTAAAAATTTTGCGCAACCCCCCCAAAAAAAGCCTTTGTGGGTGTCATAAGGAAGGACATCCGAGTAACGAGCGACCACCCCAACAAACACAATAAAGAAGAGACCTAACCCTAACCCTACCCCCACCCCCAAAAAGAACCTGCAACGGGCCTCATGTAAAAAGGCCATAACAAGTCCTAAATGAAAAAAAAAATTAAAAAACCACACTCCAAAACAAACAAGGAGCATATAGATCTAGATCTAGATTCTAGATCTATATATGGCTTACATCTACATTGCTATAGGGTTTGATACAATAACACAATAGAATTGGAATATGAATCCTTCATATATATAGATCTAGTAATCTAAATAAATCTAGATCTAGATCTTGTAGAACAAGTGAATAGGAATAGGCCTTGAACTACAAATCCGCATCCGATTCCGAACAGAGGGACTCAGCTGAGTCTAGATTCTAGATCTAGATAGATCTAATATCTAGATTTAGATTTTTACTAGAATCTAAATAAATAAATAATTCACGCACCTGATGAAATGCTTATTTTTACGAATATAAATATTACAGCACAACCTATGATAGTGTTTGACACAATAGAATTGGAATATGAATCCTCCATTGAGGTCTATAATGATCTATATAAATCTAGATCTAGATCTAGATTCTATTAGAACAAGAGAGTCGGACTTGAATGAATCCACACGATCTGAACAATTGAATTAGTCAACAAACGAAATTGAAAATGGCCGCTCGAGCACGAAACTGAAAGTAGATCATTTAAGTTATCGTCCTTTTTCGTATTCGCATTTCTACTTAGGTTCCGACAATTATGTCGGAAACGCCGACGTAGGCAGTCGGCGGTGCGCGCGTCGGCGATCGGCACGCAAACGAAAGTGCCGACGAAGCCGACGGGAGAAAAATGGGTCGCTGGCAGTCGGCCAAGCCTCGCACTACGCACATTGACTGATACAGGCATGCCTAGCGATAGCATCGGCCGGTTCGCGGGTCGGGTCGCGATTGTCGGATTTCAGACGATTGTCGGCAAACATGCAGGTCTATATAAGGTGGAGAACACTTTAATCTATAACAGAAACCAACAGAATTTTACCACGAAAAACCCCGTTATTTGAGCCCTTTCCACCAATACACCGGAGGCTCACAAAATTGCCCCTATGCCTAGCCACCAGTACAGTGGTGAGCGAAACCCCATCCCTAATCCGGCCCGTCTGAAACAAAATGCGTACGGAAAACAGCCTTTACTAAACAAGATGTTATGTTATTGATTATTTTGAATACCTTTCTCAATCAGATGCTGGTAATGACACGGACAACCCTGAGTAGGATATGGAATATGATTCTGACGATCATATGAATGTTAGTAATATATTACTCATGAGCTCAGGCAGAGGGGCACGGTAACCTCAGGAGGTCAGGACTCAAAGGGTTAATGCAGCTTGAAACAAAAGAAAAAGTCAAATTTTGATATGATTTTATCTATTGTTAATTTCTTTACTTACTTTGATGAAAACTTTAAGCAGCTTTGACACACAGATCTGTTCTTCAACCGTGTAATTGTGAGAATTGGGTAGTGACGAAAATCTTGTACATCTTCTGAGCTGAAAATTCTGGGACAAAAGAAAATAGTCAGTTGTTATACATCTTCTCTGCTGAAAGGTCTAAAACAAAGCAGAAAACAGTTGTTGGCAAGCTTAACCAAACTCTACTGAAGTTTTGATGTATGCATTTTAACCATATCCGTATGTCGTGTCTTACTATCGTATCCATACAACATGGGGAACTCTGGGCCACCAGTTTCCAAAGAGGTAATTAACTTGTTAATCCGATCCGTACGCATTGCGTAGCAGTCTGTCAAAACGATTTTTTGAGAAATACTGAAAGTTTCAAAGAGATCTTTGTACTAGAAGTATTTTAAAAAGTGAAGAATACAACCCAGGGGGTACAAAATGACCCCAGGGCGTACGGATAGGGTTAAAACATCAAGCAAAAGGTAAACACACTAACAATTTTTTTTGTATTCACAAAGAAGAAAAATGGCAAATTTCATACTCTGCAAATGTTTTCCCCTCCTTGAGTGATGGTATTCCGCATTTGGGGAGTGTCATTTTAAAAATATAACATAAAATAACTTTTTCCAAGCTAACAGCAAATATTTTTATGTTAATGTTGATGAAAGATGGTAGGGGTATTATGGATGAGGATAAAAATGACTCTCTGTATCTTTGTTTGTTATGCTGCAGAAGCATGGATCTTTTATTACTTTTATTTCAAATCAAATCAAATCAAATTTGAGGGAACAAAGGGTGTCGGCCATCTGAGAAGATGGAATTAATTTTTCTAGTGCAAATTATATAACATAATTCATCAAAATAAGAGAAAGTAATTGCTGAAATTTTGCATGTTCTCATATAATATAATAATAGATTTCGTTTTCTCTATCTTGATGTCTTGTGTTTCCCGCCCATGCTGTCACACAGTAATTGATCATACTTTCTATGGCTGAAAGATAAAATATAGACAGCAATGAATAATCAACTTTAAATTACATGAGCTTCCTCAGAAAAAAAGCCTTTTGTTCCATTTTTTATGAAGGAGAGAAATGTGGATGCATGTTGAGTTTGTTGTCTATGAAAACACTCAAATACTTGTAATCTGACACTTGCTTGATGTTCCATTTTTAATTTGGAGAGGTAGGGGAAATTTCTTCTTTCTTAAGCGACAACAAGCATATGGGTGTTAATTTTTTACATTTAAAACTAGCTTATGAGTTTCACACCACTCAGAGAAGTTCGACATAAATTTCAATTTGAAGTTTCGTTATGGTCAGCCTAAATGAGCCATTGTATGGACGAATAGTCCCCAAATTTTATCAACTCGATATTAATGCTGTTAATTTGGCAACAGTGTTTGTGTACAGTGTAAACAAAACAGGTGACAAGACCATTTCTTGAGGGGCCACTGTAAATCAACGAAAAAAAAAAAGGAAAAAAAAGGAAAACAGATGCAAGCAAGGTTGGAAGCAAGATTCAAATTCAACAGCTGTTTTTTAGATGGGCATGAAAACTTTCTTTACTTATATATATTATATATGTCTATACTCTCTCAAAATATTTGAAACTCTAGTCATTCTCACAGAATCTGAAAAACCTTTAAATTCTTTGCCAATCAAAATCTGCTTCACATCTCCTCACATCGTCTTTTTTTCAGCATAGCACCAGCAGCAAAGTAGGAACGTCTTACTGAATTTATGTGACTGTTTTCGGACGAATACAGTTCTTCGCTGCAGTTGTTCTTCCAATACTCAAGTGTGTCGTATTGAAAAACTAATATACAAAATCTGATTTCATTTTACTGTTAAGACAAGAATTTAAATATTCAAAACTTCTCTAGCTTCTTATCCATTACCAACATGTCACTGAAGCTAAAGACAAAGACAAAAAGCATCGTTCTGAGGGCCACTTTGGGTGCTATGGTGGGATGGAGCTGGAAACCTTGATACAGAAAAAAGATTTCCCCATTTAACACACCACTGACGCAAAGAATGTTGTTCACATGTCCAAAGATGAAAATAACCTGTTGAAGAATAAACTTTTTTCTGAATAAAACTTAACCACAAGGAACTAATTTGGGTAAAAGTTCTCATTTTTGTTCTAGATCTAGTAAGGTTTTACAATACAGCGTTCGCAACTGCATAAGGTCATATGAGCGCCAAGGGGTGGATCTCAACAGGGAAGTCCAAACGGGGAATCAGGCTTACTCTGCTCACCTTTCTAGCCTCAACAACACAAAGGTCTGCTTTGACTATCAAGGCACCCCGGAAATAGCAGTTCACAAGGGAGTGACAAACATACAAAAGAAGTAGAGGAAAAAGTATGATAGTAAGGATGAGGAAAGAAAAAGCAGCAGTTCCCCCTATGTTGTTCCGGCACAGTATGAGCATGACATTGATAAATCAGCCCATTTACAATTCTACTGTGCATAAGAACATTTTAAGGACCCCCCTTTGGGAATGGCCTAAAGACACTTCTGTCAGTGGCACTGCCCTGGGGAGGCAAAAGTTCTCATTCTGGACAACAAAAAAATGTAAATATTTCATCACCTGATATCTGTAAACAAAACAGAGTGCTCGCAATTTCCCTGATGTGTGAACAGATAATGGTGTCCCAATCTAATCTTGAGGTCAAAAAACTTTGTCTTTTCCATTGCAGCTGTTGTGAACTGTGCATCAGGCATGTGTTCTGAAGCCCACTTCAAGATTATCCTGAAATATGCACAACATGTACTTACTCATAGCGTCAAAATATCCTTGAATGGAAGTAGAAATGGATATAGTCCTTATAAGGTCATAGGCACAATTTTACATGAAATTGGCAAAATGTTAGAGAAAAGACATATTACTCTTTTTAGCAAACAATTTTAAAAGTATTTGTTTATTACAAACAAACTACTGGAGCTTCATACACAAATAAATACAAACAGCATCATTTATTACATACTATAAAAAACAAGTCTCAAAGCAGTTTTTTTCCAAGACATACACCCACTAAGCAACATTTGTCGGCATGAAATACAAAACACTATGGCTTCAAACCATGGATTATTTAATTATTATTTATTCTATAAAAACAGAGGCAAGAACATTTGTATAACCCTCTACAAAGAAGGTATTAAGCCACATACTTGGAATAGTCCTTGTTGTCAGATTGTCGGAAGTCATTGTAAAACACATTTTCTATGAAGAAGAAACTGGATTTATAGATGTCCTGTAAGCAGAAATAGTAAAACCACAGGTCAGAAAAACATTAATAGGCCTACTTTAGAAAAGATTATCAGATGAATCAAAATGACAGTTATTAAAATCAGTTCAGTACCAAAACAAAACGCTAACACAACAGAAAAATTGTGAAATCAGACCATATAAGAGAAGTCACAAGAAAAACTAATTATATTTAGTGTAAGAGGCATTATGACAAGTTGAGAATAAAGGAAATATCTGTTCGCTTATAATAAAGTTGTTGTAAACAAAACACGGTGATTGGGCTGCTGATTGAATTAAACTAAAAAGCGATTATTTTCATATCCAGAATTATTCCATACTTTATAAAACAAAAAGTGACTTATTCTTTGATGGTTTTACAATACATGACACTGCAATTTTCAGTCAGACTAAGATAAGAATAAGAGCAAGATGTTTTTCTTTCTTTTATTGGCCTTTGTCATGTTTCATAGCCATTTCAACCTGGACTGAATCATCAGGAAATCATTTCTTTGAGCTAGTACTGAAGAGAGCCTTGGAAACTCATTAACAATATTTCATTTCCAACTGTATTTTGCAGACATGAAGACAAAAATCTCAACCTGTAGCTGAAGTACATGTTTGGGAGGCTGAACCAAGATAATGAAAATTGAAAAGGGTATCTCACCCCTGCCTTCTCCAGGCAACTGGTATCAACGTCCGGCAAAGAGCTATAATCTCCTGGGATGATGGCATCTGCAGAGCAAGATATTTTGTCCCGCAGAGCAGACAAGGGCTGAGACCCTAATACCATCATTGTTTCGCATTCTCGATACTAGTAAGAATAAAATAAAACACATTTCAACATGTTGGTAACACTTAAAATTTAAAACAAAGCAAAACAGTCTAGTTGAAATAAATATTCAAATACTATTTGAGTCACGACGCGGTGGAATCAGGCACTCGTCAATTTTTGTGCATGCGGAGTTATTGGTATCATCTTAGAGCTTGTTCATTTATCTTCCTTTTGGTGAAAAAAGTACCCATCTATCTTAAACAGATGTGAAGATATTTGTGATTGAAAGAGGTAGGTTCACTTGGTTTCAGCAGTAAAAACAGTGAAAAAATGGCCGCCAAAGTTTGGTAACTTCAGTAGCTAAAGAGTGCTTGAAAACTGAGAATGACATATTTTGAGCTTTTAATCAATGTTTTTCAATATAATGGAAATGAGTTTTTTATTTGGATATAAAGGGGTTGAACAAAAAAACAAACATTTGATTGAAATTGCGAAACTTGTGGGAAAATGCCTGTTTCTCCAATTTTGTTATTTTGATGAGCGCCTGATTTCACCACGATGCCTCATATTTAACCTCTTGCAGCTACAGTCAAACCTCATTATATTGTTAGTTAGTTCCGCTTATCGCCAGGTTTTGCCACTGCACAAAAATGAATGCCTATAATATATAAACATACCATCTGCCTATTTACAATGCCATCTACTAACTGACTCGAGTTGTCCACTCCATATACAACTAATGTTAATCCCCCCCCCCCCCCCCCGACACAGCTAGGGTTGCTCTCGTGGCCTAGAGGTTAAGGCATTGGCCTCTCATTCAAAGGTCATGGATTCGAATCAGGGTAGCGAAGGAAACAAATTTCTTCTCTAAAATTTCTCCTTTCACCTCCTTTCCTGCTCTCTAGCAATGTTCTGTCGTCTGTTTTCGTCTCCTCTCTCTGCCCCCACCACCTCACCTCCTTTGCCCCATCCCTCTGGGCTCCTGACTCTTTCTGCAGCCTTTCTACTGCTATTCCTTGGCTCCTTCTAACTGCTGTCTTTCAGCCACACCTCTGACCTTCAGGTAGGAAAGATCTACACCTAGCCTTCTCAGACAAGGGCGAAAAATCTCGGAGAGCACGTGTGCAAGCTGGCACATTAAAGATCCCTTGGTGGTCTAAAATCGATAAGAGAAGGCTACGGACACCACTCTGGCAAAATTCAAAATTTCCTACCAACTGAAAAAGTTTCATGTGTCCCGCACCCTCATATGACCTTACTTACGCAGTTGCGAGCGCCGTAAAACACTTACACCCCCCCTCCAAAGCTAGTGAACTGGCCACCAGGACAGACACAAAAAATGTGTACAAGAGAAAAAGACAGAAAGAAAGAGAGAGTGAGAGAGACAGAGAGAAAGAGAGACACATAGAGAGAAAGAGGGACAGAGAGGGAGAAGGGGGGGGGGGAGGGGGATAGAGATAGACTTAAGACTTAGTTCTAAATACGGTACATGTAATTTGTCAACCAAAAGACACTTTTCAAACACAGATCACACAGCAAACGTAGAGGCGTCGATGTTATTTAACAGGGTACAGCATTAGAACCCCATTATACCGCCAGCCCATCTTTACCGCCAACTTCATGCTCGTCCTAAGGTTGGTGGTATAATAAGATTTTTAAACATTAGGCTACATTTTATGTGGTCACTGCCATCTTCCTGATTTTATACATTCTTAAGGTTGAAGTAAACGACAACTGTGAAGGCATTGAATTTGAGATCTTAGGGACTTTGAAAATCTACTTAGGCTTCCCTTCGACCTGAACAAAAAAATAACAGTTCATAAAGGCCTTGCACGGACGATTACCTGGGAATATGACTTTATAAACAAACATCCATGATTTTGAGTATCAGCGTACTCAAAGAACAAAAATTTCCATTAACTCTGGTTTATCACTTTTGTCTCATAATGCTATCATGGAGTCCAGTCTCAACTTATCCAGGAATCCAGTCTTTAGAACAGACAGTTTGAAGCAAAATCCTTTGTAACTTATCTTATGAAAATCAGGTACAAAATTGTCACTGGAGGGAAACACATACCCGTGTTGACTTTTCTCCTTGCTGTAAACACTTTGTTATTTGCAACGTGAGTATAACATTTGGCACAGGCACCTGATACTGTTCCTCTGCCACTGGCTGCTGTAAAGTCTGCGGTAAAAGTGCCTGACCAAGGAATAGAGATTCAAAGTTCATGTTATGTGCAAAAAGTGACAGTTCTTGAATGAAAAAGATTTAAAATGTACCTAAAGAAAATCTCAAAAGGATGCAGAAAAAAAGAATATACACACCTTTCTCTGACTTTTGAAACATTTGATACAGATAAACATGTCAGAAGCAAGGTGGCAAAATGGAAATATTACAAATTTTTCAGTTTGGTAAGAGTTTCACCCTTCTCACAACTGCATAAGGTTATATTAGTGTGTGGGACAGAAGTCGGTTGGTTATTCTTGTCCTTGGCTGAGCATTGGTCTTCTTTGCTACCTTACTAAAGGTGCCATAACAGAGTATATAATTTCCATTGTCTTTCTGTGGTAGCCACCCTTCATGTGAACATGTGGCTGTTGGAAGTCTATGGCAAGTGTGTTTTCAATTCTAACAAGGCTCACAGTTTTAAGCCTTGAGCAACGAAAGATAGGTAAGAAGAACATTGCATTTTGCAGGAGAAAGACTGCATGAAACCAAAGAGACATCATGTCTGAATACATCAGCCAGTCATGGAGAAGTGTGAACTTAACAAAACAAGAATTTCATTAGCAGGCATGACAGTACACACCAGTTCTGTAAAGTGTTCTATTAATATTTGTCATGTCTTTAAAAAAATAAGAACAAAATACACGCAATACAAGAATAAATTTTTCTGCACTTGCAATAGTTCTTCCCCTTTCCCTACTTGTCATTATTGAAATAAAAGGGAGTAAGTACTAATTCTGTCTCTATGTAACACAAGTTTCTGCCGTACATGGTTCAGTGCATGCAATTTATCATTGAGAGATCTGAGAGACTCTGCTTCTTTGGATTGCTTTCCACCTTGGGAAATTTGAATGGCAAGAGAAAGTGCAACTTCAGCTGATATGACCACATCAAACTCTACTACTCATACACAACGAATGAGGAAGGATAGAAAGGAAGAGGAGAAGAGCAAGAAAGCTGGAACAATATATCAGGAACATATTGTCACTGCCCTAGATGGCACATTTCATTTTTGCTATTTTTGAGGTAAATTGAAAAAAATTGTTAAACAAGAGTGATTATCATCTAATACAGTAGTCTCCGCCTAAGATTCCACCGCTTACGATCCCGGTTCGCTTAAGATCCCGTTGTTTTAGGAAAACTGAATTTTTACTATACAAAAGTCACCCCTAATATCCCGCTCTGATGGTCTACATTCTGCTAAGATCCCGCATTTCAGATCATAATTTGCGAAACAAAAACCCCGGCGGGACAGCTGATCAACCAAGAGAGAAAAGTTGAGATCAATAAACTGTCCGTCGCGTCAAAGATCAGCCACTGTCGTGAATGTGATCACATACAAGTTGTAAAACTCGATGAAGCGATACAATGTTTTCCCCAGACGGGATCACACCGGGGTGTGAACTGACCGACGCGTTTGTTTTCCCAACGCATCGCACTCACATCTGAGCTCTCCACCTAAACTTGCATCACTCGCTGGGTGGGTAGGGCCTTTACGTTCGTTCCAGGCTGGATCACATCGAACTGTGAACTCTTCCTTGACCATTGCAGCAGTTGTCTCTACTCCCGAATTTGCGACACAGACTGAATTTTAATTGGTGTGTTCACAACGTAATGGTGTGTAACGACAAAGGCGGTTGGGGGGTGGGTGGGGAGGGACTCGGTCAGAGATGGAAAGCTATAGATTTTCGAAAGGTAAAGGGGAGGGGCAACTGGATAAGCGTAGATCTTGAGACTCATGATAGGATAATAAGTGAAAATGGCACGCCTCTTGCCACTATGCACCGTGATAGGTCATCAAGGTTAACCACTCTTTGCTCGCCATATGCCATAAACCCACCAAGGGGGCACGTCAGTTCATTGTAGAGTGGAAGAAGACCATTTTACCAATTGTGAGCCTTAGCATGGGTCACCATAGATTCTTCCCTGGGTTCGTCGGTTAAGATCCCGATTCGCTTAAGAACCCGCATTTCCTTGCTCCCGAGCACCGGGATCTTAGGCGGAGACTACTGTATTGTTAAAATTTGCCATGCAGGTGTCTTTTTTGACTACCAGCTCATTTTTGTTTTGGTTTTACCAAAAAAGACAGATATAGTACCATCAAAAAAAATGTTGGTGATAATATGAGAAGTGATCATGAACAACAGCAATATCTTGAAGATGAACTGAATGTGATGATGGTGAAGGGAAGCAGCCCTGCACAGAGACAAAAACATTCTGACAATACAATTAAAACAGCAGCAGTAAAGCATACCATGTAATCGTCCATCACATTGTACTTCATATGTCTATTTACAGAAACTTTGTAAGATTCAATTTCTCGTCTCATTCGGCGCTGCTCTTCCTGAAACCTAAAAAAGAAGACAAACAATTGTCAGGGACAAGCAAGAAAAAATTTCTTTCGCCATAGCCATATAACCATAAAATAACTAATTATCATTTACTGTATTTGCTAAACATATGACATTAAAAAAATTGTCTGCCTTACCCAGACTGAACAATTTCTTGTCCATTAAAATAAAAATTATAATATCAATAGTTAGTCCACCATTGTCTGACCATGATCAAAGCATCTATAGAGGCCAACAATATTTCCCAAGCGAAATAGCAGAAACAAGAATTAAGATGACTTGTGGCTTCTGCTTTGACCAATGAAACTAATGCTGGCTGAAAAAAATATGCCACATTGTGAGCGTGAACCAGTGGACTCGTGACACGGTGAAATCAACAGAGCTGAAAAACGTGTGGCGAGTTCACTGAAAAAAAAGTATCCAAATAACAGGCTGGTGGTACAACGGGGGGCGGTACAATGAGGTTTGACAGTACATTAAAAAAACCCAAAAAACTTCCTCACATTGGTTGCATCTCGACTTGTTAAGAGATCAAAGTTCTTACTTACTTCACACATTCAAGATCAACCTCAGGGGGAGCTTGTGGCATTTCTAACAAATTCGAAAAATGTTTAGGTTCATTTCCAGTATACAGAGTTGACTTCCTGAAAATAAAATAGACAAAAATTTCCCTTAAATATGTAGGTTTCCTGTAGTAACAATGAATATATATAAAATTTAAGCCGAATTAGTTTTTTTTTTAAAAGACATAAAAAGATTATACACATAAATTTGCAGATACATGAAACTATCAATTATGCTGGAAACCTTAGAAAAACAGCTCAATTGTGAGTTGTGTAGCCTTATCGTTACTTTTTATAGATCTAGATCTAGTAGTATAGCTAGCTTGTTCATTTTCATTTGGGCCACCTCTATTCTCACCCGCATAGTGCAGGCGAGTCTTTTGGCTATTCTCACCCGGTGCACGTTCACCGTTATAGCCTAGATCTAGGCCACCAAATTTTGCGTAGAATTCTACACTGTGATAACAGAAAAATTGTAGAATTCTGTGCCGTGAACAAACGTTCCATTACAACTGTAGCCTACTAAAAGCGTACAATTTTGTCTGTGGGCAATGGAGAGAGAGAGAGAGAAAGAGAGAGAGAGAGAGAGAAAGAGAGAGAGAGAGGAGTAGCGCGAGAACTTCCAGGCAAAACAAAATGGCGACCCGCGTAGTTCGGCTCGATTTGAAAAGTTAAATAGCCGTAGCATCTTTGTAGACAACCAAATTAATTTACTTTTGTGTTTTAACATCATTTTTTAACTTTGTTTTGGTCAATTTGATCGTCCACACCGATAGACAGTATTCAGAAAGAGACAGAGAGAGAGAAGAGCGGAGGAGTAGATCTTGCGAGAACTTCCGGGCGGGTGAGAATAGCTACTTTCTTTCATTTGTCTGCATTCAAAAAAATTCTTACTCATTTATTTATTTGTTAATCATGAAACTTTGCATGGCACTCCTGTTGGCCAACATCACAATACAAACAAAAGTTGACAAATTAAAAGTTATGACAGGGTGCAGGCTACTAACAGTGACAGTACTGTAAACTCGCACTGGAGTGGAAACTCTTCATTCTTACCCGCATACTTCAGCCAATTCCCCTACAGTTTCGTCCGACACTGACATCATATTACATATCTGTTCATGGATTTCTTTCTCATTCTGTGGTTTCCGCATTCTGGTTGCCTGAAATGCTTCAAGATTCCATGACTGGAGAAAGTCACGGGGGCATATGAGTACTGTGGATTGCCTCGTTCTGCTCCTCCCTTTGAATTCCATTTCACTTTATAAAAGTATCAACTGACTCTAGAAAACCTATAGATCTAGAATCTAGATCTACATCTGGATCTAGATCTAGATCTAGATCTAGCTGCAGTCCAGCAAATAAGTGCTTCAATCGTGTAAAATTAAAGATTAGATACAGTACTGGTAAGGTTGAAGAAAATCATTGCCGAATCTTAAATGAATTCGTCAACGGCGCAAACGACTCACTGACGTCGAACGAAATATCGAAGGCACTAGATAGAGGCCTATCTCACACAACATCGACTCATTCCATTCATTTGTCATTTATTGAATGATAGGATCTAGCAGTTAAAAAAAACTCAGCGTATTCCAGTGTTCCTATTTTGCTCGTACCATCGGATATTCGCTGTCTTCTCCGTCGTCGTCATAATCAATAATACAAAAACAACACAATCTGAATTAATACAGAAATCCATACATCGCCCCTTCAAAGCTTCTTTTTCAAATATTAAGATTAAAGTGCTTCAAGAATACCTCAAGTGACAACAGATGAATCTAACTTTTGCTCCCTCCCGCTCTAAAATTTACCCAATGCCTCGCGGGAAAAAACCCAACATAATCTAAGGAAACACCAAGTCTTTAAAGCTCGTATAAGGGTTTCTCAAAAGATAGTAAACTTATTGAAGAAAAAAAGAAGACAGAAGTTCCTACGTTTAGCTTATGATGGCCGCCAGTTTTACTAAATTACTCAGTGCATGATACAATAGGAATGCATTAACTACACAGTCTAGAATACCAAACTCATCAAACTGTGGAACAGCACCCTCCAGCAGTGCAGGACCCCCCCC